GGGGGGGGGTTCCTTTTTTCTCAAGCCGTGTGAGAAAGGTATCAGTGGGTGAGGCCCCTTTCTCCCTTGGGAAAGAAAGCCCCTCTTTCTTTGATCCCCAAATCTCCTGCAGTCCAGTTTTCAGGAATGACCCATCTTCAGACCCACCGTGAGTTTGGGCAGCTTCGGTTCCGCCTTGGCTGAGGTCTGCAGCAGATGCACAACAGGAGGCAGTGTTGTGCTGCCCAGCAGAGGCTCAGCCAGAAGATTCCCGTGATCTTGCCCGTCATTGCAAGTGGCGTGGAAATATTCCTCCTCGTAGAAGGGCTCAAAGGAAGAACTCTCGACTTCCTTCCGTGCCCCTTGGGATCTCTGCAGTGGGACCATCACTTCCCCCTCCCCACAAAGGCATCAGTGGCTTTGAAAAGATGCTTACGGAGGACTGGAGGCTAAAACACACAACAAACCGTTGCAGGAACTGGGCCTGGCTAGTCTAGGGAAGAGAAGGATCAGGGGAGACATCAAATAGAATAGAGCTGGAGGAAGGGACCTTGGAGGTCTTCTAGTCCAGCCCTCTGCTCAGGCAGGAGAACCTATACATCTCAGACAAGTGACCGTCCAGTCTCTTCTGAAAAACCTCCAGTGATGGATATCAGTCTTCCAATATTTGAAGGGCTGCCACAGAGAGGAGGAAGGGGTCAAGCTGTTTTCTAAAGCGCCCAAAGGTCGGACAAGGAATCATGGATGGAAACTGATCAAGGAGAGATTCAGCCTGGAAATAAAGAGGAATTTTCTGACAGTGAGAAAAATCAAGTTGCCTTCAGAAGTTGTGTGAACTTCATCACTGGAGGCTTTCAAGAAGAGATTGGACCGCCATCGGTCAGAAATGGTGTAGAGACTCCTGCTTGGATGAGGGGTTGGACTAGATGATCCCTACCACAATTTAGCCACAATGGACCATTTTCCTTCCCCTCTTGGTGCCTAGCCACTTTTTGTAAGGTTTCCGGTTAACGCTTGTTGCAAAATGTTCTTAAGTTGTCCACACCTGTTTTTTTGGTCATGGCTGATTGGCTAGAGTTGGTATTTTGGCTCACACTACAGTTCCCTTCCTCTTGCACAAGTCCCTGCATTTTTTGCACAGTGTGTGTGTGTGTGTGTGTGTGTGCACGTGCGTGTTGGGCCTGTGCGTGCATGTTCGTGCGAATCCAGTTTGCACTCTGATTTCTCAGGTCTTGTCTTGGCATCCTTCGCAAGACGCTAGACCTCAAGTGATTTTTAGGTGAGAAAAGAGATTGGGGGAGGGGGGTGGAATCCAAGGATTGGAAAGTTATTATTTTTTTGTTTTGTTTTCCTCTCCAGCTCTTGGCTGTGTGAAATACATTGTGGTGGAACTTGCCACGGATTAAGCCACAAAGATGTCCATAAGCTATGATGGTTTCTAATGTGTGTGTCATTATTATTTTTTTAATATGTTCACGTTTTTCTCTTCCGTATTTTGGCTTAAGTTTTAGAATTGGGGTTGGGCACTTTCTGTGTCTGCATGCCAAAAGGGAGTACTCTCTAGAAAAAAAAAATTAAAAGAAAAGGAAGGTAGGTCAAAAGTAGACAAGGGGTGAGCTCATTTCTCAGAGGTGTATGTCTGCTCAATCCGTTGCTCTTCTGTACCAAAATCAGCTGTAGTGGTGACATTTCCCCATCTCAAAACCAAGAAAATAAACTGGATTTTCAGACACAGAGACTCCCGAGTGTTTCTTACGCATGATGCACGTTTACCCTTGCACTACAGAGAGTCCTTGACTTAAAGCAGACCCTCCAGAGTTACCACGGCACTGAAAAATATGACTTACGACCGCTTTTCACACTTGACACCTTTGCAGCATCCGCCATGGTCATGTGACCAAAATTCAGATGCTTGTCAACTGGCATGTATTTATGCCGGTTGCAGAGTCCTGGGGGTCATGTGATCTCCTTTTGCAACCTTCTGACAAGCATAGTCAGAAAGAGCCATGGTGGCACAGTGGATAAGAGGGCAGTACCACAGGCTACTTCTGCTGCCTGCCGGCTGCCTGAAATTTGGCAGTTCGAATCTCACCAGGCTCAAGGTTGACTCGGCCTTCCGTCTTTCCAAGGTGGGTAAAATGAGGAGCCAGATTGTTGGGGGGGGGTGCAAATAGGCTGACTCTGTAAACCAGTGGTCCCCAACCACCGGCTCCCCGGACCGGTACCGGTCCGTGGATCATTTTCTACCGGGCCACCGGTTTGCTGGGCGCCGCCATCTTGTTTTGACGAGAAAGTGCTTCCGGGTGAGCTTTTCCGGTTGGAAAGTGGCGTTTGGTGCTGTTGGAATCCTCGCGCCTTAGTTTCATCGAAGGCGGGGGGCGGCTTCGAACGAAGAGCTGTCCCGATGGCGGAGGAGATTAAGAAAGCACAAAAAAGCACAAAAAAGGTACAAAGGAGGAGTTGAAGGTGGCGGGGAGAAGCAGGGGACGGCTGGCTGGCCGGTCGGTCAGCTCGCCTTGCCTTGGTCATGTGTGCTGATGCCGGTATCGGGCCGTGGCACAAAAAAGGTTGGGGGCCACTGCTGTAAACCACTTATAGAGGGCTGTGAAGCAGTACACAAGTTTAAGTGCTATTTCCATTGCCCTCCCTCCCTCCCTCCCTCTCAATTCCCTTTCTCATTCTTCTTCCTGGTGGCGCATTGGTTAAAATGCAGTATTGCAGGCTGACTCTGCCCACTACCAGCAGTTCGATTCTCACCAGGCCTCCTGGTCAAAATCTTGAGCCAGTAAGAACCAAACTGTCAAATTGCAGGCCTCCTGATGATTGGCCCAAAGTCACCCCAGCTGGCTTTCATGCCTAAGACAGCACTAGAACTCACCATCTCCTATTTTTTAGTCTGGTGCCCTTTCTACTAGTTCAACCTGGCTCTCTTATTGACCAAACATGCTATTGATATCCAGGTAAAGAAGTGGCCCCCAACCTTTTTTGTACCACGGACCGGTACAAAATGTACAAAATGATCCACGGACCGGTACCAGCATCAGCACGCACGACCAAGGCAAGGCGAGCCGAGCGACCGGCCAGCCAGCCGTCCCCCGCTTCTCCCCATCACCTTCAACTCCTCCTTTGTACCTTCTTGCAGTAACGCCTCCACCGTCATCGGGACAGCTCTTCGTTCGAAGCTGCCCCCCCACTCTTCGACAAAACTAAGGCGCGAGGATTCCTTCAGCACCCAAACGCCGCTTTCCAACCAACGACCGACAAGCTCACCCGGAAGCACTTTCTCAAGCACCGTCGAAACAAGATGGCGGCGCCCAAGCAAAATAGACGGCCCGGTACAAAATGATCCACGGACCGGTACCGGTCCGGGGCCCGGTGATTGGGGACCCCTGCTGGTAAAGGACATCAAGGAAAATCAAACTTCACCATTGTGTAATTTTGAAGATTAGAATTGGGAGCTGTCCAAGTCCTGCTTTTAAGCGACTGGGGTTTCCATTTTAATAGATTAAAACAGCTAATTCCTGGCCAGATTGAACCTTCAGCTTAAACCACGGAGAATTCAAATCACTGAAAAATCTGTTATTTCACATGTTTGTGGAAGTTCATCAGTAGGCTATTGAGTATGTGCAGATGGAGGAAGATAATCAGTGAAACATTTAAACAATATTTTTTTTCTTTAAGATGTTACAAGGCTCTTTATATTTTTCTGAAGCACGAGGATCATCCCTGGAATACATTTGCACCACATGCTTCAATCTGGTTTCTGAGTTATTCCATTTTCAGGGATCCTGCAACATCTTTTAATAAAATGAGGCTTATTAAGCTGCCCAAAAAAACCTCTAATCATGGTTTAGAAATATCCAAGCTTATCAGGTCATGGAAATGCCACTATAAAACGTTCAATTGACCCATTTAAATATGGTATCTAATTCTGACTCAGCCTCAGTGAACTGGAAGGGAAAATTCTACATCCTTTTTCAGAAGTTCCTGCATTTATGTATCGTTCTTTTACCATGTTAGGGAGTTCTGTCCAAGTTTTTTTTTTTATCTTCCAGAACCTTAAACAAGAGAAGCTCACTATCAATGACCTTTTCTACATTTAAGAAAGTCAATGGAACTTGTTTTTCATTATGTTTCTCCAAAAGTTCCAGAATGTCCAAAGCACACCTAGTAATTCTCCTTTTAACTGATTTTTAGGTGAAAATCCACAATGATTCTCATGAATAAACCCCCTGCAAAATTATTTTCAGCCTGACTTACAAGAGTTTTAGTGACCGCTCAAAGTTACGACGGCGCTGAAAAAAATGTTACAATCATTTTTCACACTTAACGACTGTTAAGATGCGTGACTCATATTTATGATGGTTGTAATATCCCAAGGTCACGTGAGCCCCTTTTGTGACCTTCTGACAAAGTCCTTGGGGAAGCCAGATTCACTTAACAAGCGTGTGACTAATGTAACAACTGCTATGATTCATTTAACGACGGGTTTTAGGCATCGCACCCATAATTCCAACTTGCAAACTGTAACCGATCACTCAGCATGGGTGAATTTGGCACTCGTGAACCAATCCAAGAAACCACGTTCAAGCAAACCATCGTTTACCACCGTAGGCCAAGCCAACCAAACACAAAAATACAGGTACTCTTTGACTTACGGCCACAACTGAGCTCAAAATTTCCTGTCGCTAAGCAGGAGAGTTGACTTTTGCCCCCGTTTGCAATCTTTCTTGCCACAATTGTTAAAAATCTAAATTGTTAAAAATGTCTGCAGTCGTTAAGTTAGTAACCTGGTTGTTAAGTAAATCTGGCTTCCCCATTTTAACTTCAAAAATGGTCATTAAGTGAACTGTTATAAGTCAAGAATTATCTGTACCCACTTATGGACAAACTGGATGCTCAACCCAGTTTTCGTGACCAAACATACAGGTGGAAATTCAACTCCTATTGGGAGGAGAGGACTTGTTTTAAGGCAGGGGTAACACAACAGTTCTAAAGAGCACACAACCAAGAAGGAAGGACTCACACACACAACACACACACACACTCTCCATGCATTTGCTGAAGGCATGTTTGGAACATGGGCTCCAGAAGGATTCAACCCCCACCTAAGGCGGCTTGCTGGCAAGCCAGCATCTGACCTACTTTTCTCATTTAAATTTTGGACACCTCAAGGTTGAACCTGCACCCCATACCTTTGCCCTATAAATGTGTGGACCCAGCCCTCCCCTGGAAACGGGTTTGTTTAATTCCAGGTGAGGATTTTGCAAGGCAAATGACACAATTCTTCCCAACCGTTTTGGCTGGGCCTGTTCTGCTCTGTATTGTAAATGCCAGCCAGGAAGGAAACTTGCCAGCTCTTCCCCCAAGAAGAACAGCAACAAAAAACCTCTTAAATTTTTGCATGCAAGAACTGGTGGAGTTGCTAAGAGCAACTGGAGGATTGGACAAAAGGACACCGACTGTGTTCCCACAACCCCCAAACCGGGGTGAGATTCAACCAGTATAACAACTGGTTCAGTGAGTGTGTGCAGTGTTTGAAAACCACCGATTTTCACCTCTAAAACTTACCTTCTGCTGCACCTCCAGTCAGTAAAACAGCTGATTCGCACACGGCAATCGCTTGCGTCGCTTGCATTACGAACAACACGAGGTAGTGAGGGGAGGGGGGAAAGGGCGGAAGGGGGGGGAACTTGCCCCACTTGACCCACTCACCTGGCCTGGCCACCGGGCTGCTTCTTTTCCGCTTCTTCTGCTTTTGGATGCATGCAAGGAAAGCAGCAAAAGTCTTTCTTTCTCTCCCCCAAACTCCATCAGAAATGAGTCTTTGGGACCCTGCAAGGCATCCTGCTCCAAGAAGCTGTGCCATTCTGGCGGAGTTTGTGGGAGAGAAAGAAAGACTTCTGCTGCTTCTGCTGTTTTCCTTGCATGAAGCCAAAAGTCTCTCCCTCTCCCCCTGAGAACGGAGCTGGAGACAGTAGCCTGCGATCCCAAATAAAGAATGATTGATAGGAAAACAGGGTGGAGAATTTTCCTGCAGGCATTTGGGGGGGATTTTCCCAGGGTCTCTGGTCCGCGGGATTTAAAATTATGAGTTTGGTGGTCCCTGAGGTCCAAAAGGTTGGCGACCCCTGGACTACAGCTGGGGTGGGTGGGGAGGACCAACTAATCACCAGAACTACTGGTTTGCCCGAACCGGTCGTACCGGCTGAATCTCACCCCTGCCCCAAACTCACCAACCCCACTTTTGGGCTAACCCTGAGCTAAACTCAACAACACTGGGTTATATTATTACATTAAGCCGTAAGATTTGCAAAGCCTGTAGCTCGTTCGTGCAAATTTAGGGGTTCTTGTGTTGCCGGATTCAAAGCATGGAAACCCAACTCAGCTACTTCCTTGCAAAAATTCAAAGCACCAGAGACCAAAGACACTTCCAGACCTTACATTGGTCTAAATGTTGACAAGGTATGAACCAGGATACTAGACTAAATCCTAATATGGTTTGCAAAGCCTGTTGTGGCTTGTTCACCCAGGTTTGGGGGGTGGGCCTCCTGTGCTGGGTGACCAAACTCACGGTCCCTCTTTGCCACTGGAATTCAAAGCTCTGGAGAACCGAAGGCACGGTGGCGGAGTAGTTAAAGTGCAGTATCGCAAGCAAACTCTGCCCACATCCCGGAGTTCGATCCTGACCGACTCAAGGTTGGACTCAAGCCTTCCATCCTTTGGAAGTCGGTGAAATGAGAATCCAGATTGTTGGGGGCAATAGGCCGACATTGCAAACTGCCCTGAAAGTGCTGTAAAGCATTAGGAGACAGTATATAAAGCCTAAAGGCTAGAGGTGGCCTAGAGGTGGAGCTTTCGCCTCGCAAATCAGGAGGCTGTGAGTTTGATCCTAGGTAAAGGCAGATATTTCTCTCTCTGGGCAGGATGAGAATATGTCTGCTGAATATAACTCCACATTGGTGACAGGAAGGGCATCCGGCCAGCAAACACTCCGCTCCATTCAATCTCCCAGATTCCACTCATTCAAAGATGATGGTGGTGCAAAGTCTAAACGCTATTGCTACTTCCTGAGCCTACATTCACCTAAACATTGACAAAGCTGGTCTTTGGATGTTTCTCTCTGAATAACTGCAGCCCTGCCTCTCCTTGGCATTTCACTTCCGAGAGAAACGTCCTTGGGGAGGGAGGCCAATCCCCACACCCACCCAAAAACTCTCTTTCCATGCAAGCTGCATTTGTGCCACTGGCAGGACCAGCGGTGTTTATTGTGAACACAGTCTAGGCTCCGGGGCCAAAATGGACTCGGTGCTGGGTGCCAGGCCCAAGGCAGGAGAAGAATGCCCCCTTCATCCACCCCTCCCTGGACACCCCAGCATTCCCACAATGCTGCAGGCTTCTTCCGGGAAGTGGGACACTTCAGCATTTCCAAGGCTATCTGAGCAGCCAACATCTCTCTCCCCCCTTTATTTGTCCAGTCCTGGCTGCACTCCAATGCGTCTGCGTTTTCTTAAGAGTGAAATTGAAAATTTCTCTTGTAAAGCGGCCCCTCCCGCCTTTCTCCTTAAGAGCCATTCTTGATTTTGGCCAGGAACTGTTGACCCCACCAGTCTTCGAGGTCAATGGGAACAAAATCTGAAAAAAGGAAAAGAGGAAAGTTGGAATTTGCAAGGCCAGACACCCCCAGACACACACACAAAAAAAGCTGCTTAAATGAGTTATTTCTTTCCACCAAACCTTCAGAGCCATGTTTCTCAACCTGAGCAATTTTAAAATAGGTGGATTTCAGCTCCCAGAATGGAGTTTTTCACTGCTGGCTGGGGAATTCTGGGAGTTGAAGTCCACCCCTTTTAAAGGGGTGAGAAACATGGCTTCAGAAATGTCCATGGAGATTCTCAGTCCTCCAGGTCATGGTTGTCCCAAAGGTGATTTTTTTTCCCCAAGAGGCAATTGGACTTTCTGGTTTTTCTTTGAAGACGTTTCGCTTCTCATCCAAGAAGCTTCTTCAGCTTCTTCAGGTGGTGGGGAATGGAAGGATTTTACCTTAATGACCCTCTAAGATAACCTCGCACGTAAGTGCTACTTGTTTCCAGCTCTACGGGGCGGTACTCATCTCCGTTACAAAGCTGAAGACGACCCAGCGCTGTCCGGAGACGTCTCCGTGGTCATGTGGCCGGCAGGACTAAACGCCGAAGGCACATGGAACGCTGTTCCCTTCCCATCAAAGGGGTCCCTATTTTCCTACTGGCATTTTTATATGCTTTCCCAAACTGCTAGGTTGGCAGAAGCTGGGACAAGGAACGGGAGCTCACCCCGTTATGCAGCGCTAGGGATTTGAACCACCAAACTGCCAACCTTTCTGATCGACAAGCTCAGCGTCTTAGCTAGTGACCCACCGCATCCCTTCATGACCCTCTAAAAGGATGCAAATGACCAGCTGTCTGCAAGGAGTATACATCCTTCCTTTCCCAGTCAGAGCGGAAGAAACTTCTTAGATGAGAAGCAAAATGTCTTCAAAGAAAAATCTGAAAGTCCAGATGCCTTTGGGACATTGCTTCTGAAGTGTTGAATTACAGCACCCACCATGCTTTCTTACTATTATAAGCTGTAAGCCACCTGGAGTCACTTTACATGGGAAATGGGTGGCACAAAATAACCGAATAAACAAATTTAATATATAACAATTATCTGCTATCTGGAGTGATTGGTTATTGGAGTTCGTGACCACTTAGAAGAACACAGTTCTCTATCCCTTCAAACAAGTCACAATTTTGAGCTGAGCTGCAGTGGTGCAATGGTTAAAGTGCAGTTCTGCAGGCTACTTCTGCTGCCTGCCGGTTGCCTGCAATTTGGCAGTTCAAATCCCACCAGGCACAAGAATCTCACCAGACTCAGCCTTCCATCCTTCCAAGGTGGGTCAAATGAGGACCCAGCTTGTTGGGGGCAAATAGGCTGACTCTGTAAACTGCTTAGAGAGGGACGTAAAGCACTGTGAAGCGGTATATAAGTCTAAGGGCTACTGCTACTGCTATTTCTCCTGTGTTGTAGAGTGCTGCTTCTCAACCTTAGCAACTTTAATATGGGTGGAGTGGAACTCCCAGAATCCCCCAGCCAGCTTGCTTCTACTTGGATTTGGGGAGAAGTAAAGGCCTGGCAAGGAGTCATTTTCCTACTGACCTTTCAACTCAGGGCTGGGTGTTTTCTCTGTGTATTGTACTGGGCCAGATCCACCATCTCCCTGCTGTCGACTGTCCAACTGCTGTTCCACTTGTTGCCAAGCTAGAAGCAAGAAGAAAAGAACATACAGGGAGCCCTCAACTTAACAACCGTTCATTTAGTGAGCATTCCAAGTTAGAACGGCACTGAAAAAGGTGACTTACGACCATTTTTCATGCTTACAATTGATGCAGTGTCCCACCAAGGTCCCATGATCAAAATTCAGGCATTGGGCAAGAAAGCTCTCAAAATGGGGGCAACTCAACTGTCTTGGCATAGCAACGGGAATGTTGGACTCCATTGCGGTCGTTAAGTCAAGGACCACCCGTCAGATCCCCACGCTCCATAAAAATGGAAGTCCAAAAAGTTTGATTTGGCCGCCCTGCAGTTGTCTAAGTTTCATTTGTGTCTTTTGACAAAGAACAGCAAACAAGACACGGGGGCTCCATTGGTGCTTCAACTTCCTCCTAGAGCAAGGGTCTCCAAACTTCACAGCTTTAAGACTTGTGGACTTCAACTCCCAGAATTCCTGAGCTAACATGACTGGAGGAGGAATTCTGGGAGTTGAAGTCCACAAGTCTTAAAGCTGTGAAGTTTGAAGACCTCTGTCCTAGAACAAGGGTTAGAAACCGTAAACACTCAAAGAGCCACAAAGGTCCGACCGCAAGTCCGGTTCCCCCACCTTAGTCTCTCCTCCTAGCACAGCGTCCTTTTTCCTTTTACCGACCGGTGACAGGGAGCCGCAGCAAAGGGATGAAAGAGCCACATGCGGCTCCAGAGCTGCGGGTTGCCGACCTCTGTCCTAGAGCAGCGTTTTTCAAACTTCAACTTCCAGAATCCTTCAGCCTGCGTGCTGGGAGTTGGGGGATTCTGGGAGTTGAAGTCCACACTTCTTCCACTGGCCACGCTTGAAGTCTTCTATCCCAGAGCCAGCCAGGAGCCAGCTTACCTTCGTACACAAACCGGACATTTTCTTCGTGAGCTACGGTGTAGTTTTCTTCTGTGGTTGTGGGGGGCGAGATCATCAACGGGGGTCTTTTTCCATTGACCCTGTTGAACACAAGCTTGGGAAGGGGGCTGCAAAGAGAAAACAGAAGAGGATTTTATTGGTGCTTCCTTAGGAATACAGGTACAGCCTGTGAGTTAACGGCTGTTCAGAGTTTGCAAAATTCAACTTGATCATATATGAAGATATATACGATATAATACACCAGTTTCTGATCTTTTTTGTTGCTTTCTGGCAAAAAGCAATTGCCCATTTGGGGGAATTGGTTTGAACTTAACAATTCGTGCTTTTCTTAACCACTGCATGGTTTGGATGGCGTGATTCACTCAATAATCTCCGTAAAAATGGTTTTAAAGTTGGGTTTGGACATGGGGGTGCCTTGACTTAGGACCAACATGACTTAGGACTGAAATTACAGCCTCAATTGCAGTCATAAGTCAGGGACCAGAAGCTAACCAAGAAAACTGAGTTGGATTGTTTGGTTCAGTGAATATAAAACTTTTCCAGGGTTTTTTTCCCAGGAGATTTTATCAAATCCCTGTCAGTCCTGGTCTGCATTCAACTTCTAGTAATTACAGGATGTCCTCAATATATGACCACGATTTGCCCAGGGTTACTGTTGCTAAACAAGACAGTCATTAAGTGAGTTTTGTCCCATGTTATGACCCTTTTTTGCCACAATTTAGCAATTGCGGTTGCTAAATGTGGACTATCTCCAATTCTTTCATGAGCCAATGCTTTCTGTATTGCTGGCAAGATCATGGATAGGTTCATATACAGATCGTCCTTGACTTACGACAGTTCATTTAGTGACCAAAGTTGCAACGGCGCTGAACAAAGCGACTTACGACCATTTTTCACACTTACAACCATTGCAACAGCCTATGGCCCGGGGGGGAGGGCGGGAGTCATTTGCGAAATTGGGTCTCACAAAGTCAGTGGAGCAGCTGGGTTCACTTAACAACCTATGTTACTAACTGGACAACTGCAGCAATTCACTTAACAACCATGGTGAGAAAGGTCATAAAACAGGGCAAAACTCACTTAACAAAATGTTTGGCTTAGCAGGGCACATGGATATTTTAGAAGATGTTATGTCAGGGACGCTTTATTAACAGTATAGGGAAAAGTAAGGGAATATCATTATATGAAAAATATCAGTCTGGTTATCAACAATAGAAGCATTTGCATATCAAAATGTTTTTAAAATGGAAAATATTATTAGATATGAGGAAATTTTAAATGAACAGGGTGGACTCCGAACAACAAAGCAAGAACTAGAGGAACAATATAGATTGGTATGCATATTTGCAAATACATTCAAGGTATGAAAAGGACACCAAGACTGCTGGGTTTGATAAGGAAATGATTGAATTAAATAAAATCTTAACAGGCACCGAAGAGAAGATGGTTAAAGCATTATAGGGTTATTTGCTAGGTGTGAAATTAGAAGAAGAACAAGTTAAAGAAACAATGATTGCTTGTGGTCGTAAGTAGAGGACCACCTGTATGAAGAAACAAGAAGAAATAGAACAACCTGTTCTACCTATTGGCTGCGTATTTGATGTAACCGTGCCCGTATTGCGCAACAATTCAGTCCAAACAATTGTGAAGAAAATATATATATACATATTTATTTACATGGTTCACCATCCACCATCCAAGCTAATCCTTGCGCTGGCTGGTCCCAGGGATTTAACAGTCCATTTTTAATCTTTCCTAATCCTGAGTCAGATTAGTGAAAGAGCCACAATCTTTGGCACAGGACGGTGGGAAGATTTGCATACCTCTTCAAAGGAGACGGATCGGAGCCCTCATAAAAGGGGAGTCCCTGGGTTTAAGAATCAAAAAGAATCACCCAGCAGATCGAAGGCGCCTCGCCTCCCACTCGCTCCTCCACCAGAACCATTTTGGAATTGGAATGGAATTTGCAGGAAATCAATTTGGAATTGGAGCTGGCAGAGTCAGACCCAATCGGGATTGGAATTCCTAAATGAAACTCTTGTGTGTGAATCCAGACTGGGAGCGCTTGTGAGAAAAAAATGCAGAGAAGAGCAACCAAGATGATTAGGAGACTGGAGACTAAAACATGTGAAGAACTGTTGCAGGAACTGGGCCTGGCTAGTTTAGGGAAGAGAAGGACCAGGGGAGACAGGATAGCAGTCTTCCAATATTTGAGGGGCTGCCACAGAGAGGAGGAAGGGGTCAAGCTATTTTCCAAAGCACCTGAAGGCCAGACAAGGAATAATGGATGGAAACTGAACAAGAAGAGGTTCAACCTGGAAATAAGGAGAAACTTTCTGACAGTGAGGACAATCAACCCATGGAACAGAAGTTGCCCTTGGAAGTTGTGGGAGCGCCATCACTGGCTTGGACTCCCACCTTTCAGAAATGGTGTAGGGTCTTCTGCTTGGGCAGGGGGTTGGACTAGATGATCTACAAGGTCCCTTTCAACTCTGATTAACTGTTATCTGTGTCAACCTTGGAAGCCATATTTTACTTGGAAGCTTCGAGGCTGCCACATTCAGTGCCTGGGAATTTGGGAGGGGGAGATTTCATAGAGAGGTAGAAGATTAGACACAACGTTCTTTCTCAGAAAGTCAAGGACATGTTGTCCTGCACCTGGAGGGGAGTGACTGGACGGATGTCTCTAGTTGGGGCAAAGATTTGATTGGGCCATGTGATGGACTGATGGGTGCCGGGGGATGGATCTTTGATTTCTCTTTTGGGAAGGGAAGACCTGGAACTCTCAGATTAGGGTTTTCCCGGATGTGCCAATATGACAACTCTAATTAAATGGACCTTTAAGAAAATGCTTGTCTCTGAGTTTATTGGGGTGGAGGTTGTTAGTTGGAATGCTGACAGTAAGCTTGCCTGCATTGGTGCAAAGGAGAATTTTTACGAGCAAGCATAAGATTTCAGCCTACACTGGCATTTCTCAAACTTGAGCTCTTTTAAGTTTGAACCGTCATTAAACGAACAGCTGTAAGTTGAGAACTATCTGTATTCCTTGAATGAAGAGACAATGAAGACTAATTCTACTCCTCTTATTACCACTAATATTTGTCCTTTTGTTTGAGAATATGCAAGTCACTATTCTGGGATGCGATTCTGGACTGTGTCCCAGTGTCTAAGTTCTCTGGGGCAGGAGTCCAATGGCACATGACCCAGATTCTTCCACCTGATCGTACTTCCACAACATCAAGCAAGTCACATGTTGTTTACTCTTCCTTCCCAACCCTCCTCCTCCTTCTGTGTCCCATCCAGCCCTCTCCCAAATTCTCGTTGCAATTGGACACACATTTTTTCCAAGGTCAGTGGAACAAATGGTCATTGTAAAAAAAATGGTCAACACCAAAGCTTGAAAGAGACACCACAGTGAGAAATGCACAAGGTCTGATCGAAGGTGACCAAGTTACGCACCTATGCTGACGTGCGTCTGACCTCACTCTGGTGCCTTCCCTGGGCCAAATTATATATTTTATTAAATAAACTTTGAGATAAAAGTCTTTCTTCGGGGAAAGAAAAACCTTCAGAGAATGAATTGCACTGTTTTCTATCCCCTTTCCATGCCTAAACATTGCAATGTCCAGATTTTGTTTTCCTTCACTCCATGAGGTCTAGAATCTTGTGCAAAAACAGAAAGAGGAAACTTTGCAAGCTGCCACTTGAACTAGGTATATAATACAATGGTACCATAGTCTTAACTTTGTATTAAACTGTGATTGCTTAAACCATACCACATTTGCAGAGTGTACCCAAAAGCACAAAGACCAGTGGTGGGATTCAATTTTTTTTTACTACCGGTTCTGTGGACGTGGCTTGGTGAGTGTGGCAGGGGAAGGATACTGTAAAATCTCCAGTCAGAGGTGGAATTTGCTGGTTCTCCAAACTACTCAAAATTTCCACTACCGGTTCTCCAGAACTGGTCAGAACCTGCTGAATGCCACCTCTGATGAAGACATATCCTGGATTAGTAGCTCACAGTGGCTAGGCTTATACGACAGAAATTAGACAATCATATCTTAGTTTAGTTGCACCAATTCAGCCCACAGGATTCCTATATAGTCCAGCATATTCTTACCAATGTAGACACCTAAAGAAAACTATGGTTCCCTTAACCATGATCGAGTCTTATCGTTCAAATGCAGCCGAATGAATTTATTGCATGATCCTCCACCATAAAGTTGCTGTTTGCGGCAAAATGTAATTTCTCTCTAGTTTTAGCATGTAATTCATGTTTTCAAATTATTTTCTGGCTTTAGGATTTTGGTTTTAAGAGGTAGGGGGGCGCATTGGGTTAGTTCATGCTTTCGCAAACTCTTCCTAGCCAGAAAATGAGTTAATTTTGTTACATCATTGTTGTGCAAACGCTGCTATTAAGTAAAGAGAGATTTATGAAGCAGTTGTTGGACTCTTGCTACATAAGTAAACACAGCAGGGCAATAAATTATGTAGACCAAAAGGAAGATAACTTTGTCAATGGAACGTTGAGTATCTCCCAAGTAGATGGATATAATGTCAGGGTCTTCCGTAAAAGTCTTTTATTTTAGCAAAACTGTCGCATCACTCAACAACACATTTCATTTTCAAGCAGTTCAGCTATTCAGCAGTTCTACTAGTCCTGTCTTTGGCATGAAACCAGCTAAGGTGACCTTGAGCCAGCCGCTTTCTCTCAGCTCTAGAAAGGAGGCAATGGCAAATCGCTTCTGAAAAATGCAGGGACTTGTCTAGGCAATGCCAGAGAATCGAACACAATGGAATGGAAGAAGGGGGGGAAAATACTTACAATGGCTGGGTTTGCCATTGGTAAACTGGTATCCAACTAGCTAGAAACTAAACAAACACTGATTGGATTTCAAGATATGTGTAACACAAAGTAATAATTTGCTTTGCGACATAATTTTTTTCCCCTAAAGGCTGGGAAATATTGTCTGTTCTTTCAAGGGCCCTTTGAGGCATGGAGAAAGGATTTTTTAATCCAATTCAACTACTTATGACCACCATCGAGCCCAAAATTTAGCTTGCTAAGTGAGGCATTTGTTGCATGAGTTTTTGCCCTGTTTTACGACTTTCCTTGCCACATTTGTTAAGT